CCCCCCCCCCCCCCCCCCCCGCTCACCAAGTGCTTCACCACCGAGCTGCCTCCAGCCCCTCTTGGCCATCTTTTCCACCCCACTCTTCTCCATCCCCACACAGGCCCTTCCTCCCTGCATTGCCAGTCTCTCCTTCCTCCTCTGATGATTCCCCAGTGTGTAACTGTACACAAGCTCCTTCCTGATACATGAACAAACAAACCAGCCTGTCCCTTCCTGGCCAAGCCGCATGGCAAGTAGGGTTTATTTGTTGTTCCCATTCACTGCTGGCCGAGTGCAATCTTGTTTTTCCCACTTGTGTCCCCGTGAGGTGTTCTCACCAGGTGACCAGAGACGCCACCTCGTCAGGTCCTGTGCACACTATGGTCCCCGAGTGGCCTTCTAACCCCTCTTGAGAGCCCTGTGTGTGTGTGTGTGTGTGTGTGTGTGAACCCAGGGCCTCTCACGTGCTAGGCAAGTGTTGTACCACCGAGCGGCCAGTGTTTTGTTGACAGCTAGAGGCACAGCCGGAAGGAGGAGGCACACAGGGTTGCAGACTAAAGTGCAATCGCCAGGGCCCAGCAGGCCAGGAACACCGCATCCTGGGGGCCACACGCGCTCCCACCAGTGGCCCCGAGAGGCCGACATGCAGGGGTGGGCGGGGTGCTGTGTCCCACAGAGTGAGAGGATGTATGATGCCTTGTGAGCCACAGGATCTGGGTTAAACCGGAGGGAGGGTCCGTGGCATCTAAGACAGCTTCATCTTCTCAGAGCCAACATTGGAGGAGAACTGAGCTCTGGGACCTTGTGTCAGCTGCTGTGTCTTCACCCATGCGTTTGCGGTTGAGCCTCTGCTTTCTCCCCCTCTGCTCCTTGATTCGCTGTACCCTGCCTGTGGGTTCAGTGTCAACCTCCTCTGTAATCAGCTTCCTCCTGGCTTTCTCTCTTTCGTTCTTTTTCACTGTCTAATTTTCCTAGGGTGGCCTTGAACTTGTGATCCTCCTGCTTCCGCAGCCCAGAAAGGTGGGATTACAGGCTTGCACTAAGCACCATGCTCAGCTCTTTTTCACTTTATTTTTGCGGTGCTGAATGGATCCCAGGGCCTCACAGATGCGAAGCACGTGCTCTTCTGCTGAGCTGCACCTCACCAGCCCCAGGCTGCTCACCTATAGTAGCCGATCTGGGCTGCTTGTGCATCCATTGCCACTTCCCACTTCCGCTTCGGCTTCCAGGGCGACCTCTCTAAAGGGCCCGTCTCGTCCTGTTATTACCTTGCGTAGATTCTCCCATGGCTCACTGCTGTCCACAAGGCAGGGTCTAGCTTCCTGTGCCTGGCGAATCAACGGCATGACCTGGGGTCTAGCCTCCTTCCCGGGCTTGCTTTCTTCCATCCGCTGTCTCCAAGCTCCTGGGATCCCAGAGACAAAGAATCTCCCTGTTATTTCCAAGACGTGAGGCTCACTCACGTATCGTTTCCTGTTCTAGAGATGCTCCACCCTCTCTACCTCCCCGCAAATGTCCACTTAGCCGGTCTCTCCCCGCTTCCTTTCGTCTGCCTTCTCCGGTGTGAAAATGTCTTTGCATTTCACAAGCATGGTTATCTGTTCCCTCTTCTCTGCTCTCTTAGCTTTCCTAAATGGGATTCTGGAATGGTCCCTCTAGAATTTCGCCTTTTGTCTGCAACTAGAAGCAGCTTGGAGAGATGGGTGAATCTGGATTTTAAACCCCAACTTTGCCACCTGCTGGCAGGTCGGTGTCCTTGCTTCTAAACTTGCAACCCTGTTAACCCTGTGGTATTTCGGGAAGATGGCGGAGGAGCCTTTGCTGTCCCTGGTAAGTAGCTGGATCTTGTCTTCACAGGCAGACTTTTTAATAAGCCCCCGTGTGCTCACATTCACCCCTTCGTCTCCTGAGATTCACTTTGCACTCGGTCATTCTCCTGGAAACCCAACCGGTCACCTCTTCACTGTCAAATCCAGCTTCTCATTCATCGTGCCATGCTTTTTCTGTGTCACAAAGTATCATCTACCTCCCCTCCTCTTTGAAAACCATTTCTCTCGCTGGTTTCCTCCAGCTCCACAGCTGCTCCTACTAAGTCGACTGCCTCTCCTGATTGTCCTATTATGACTCTTCTGACTTCCTGGCTGGAGGGGCAGGGATGACAAGAAGGGGTGGGGATGAGGAGAAAAGTTGGTGTACGAGTGACATCGTTTCCTAGGCAGGAGGTCTGAAAAGCTGTCCCAGCCCTATGCTGCAGATCAGTGCAAGTCCCAAGTGCAGAATTTCAGGTGACCTGTTTTTACTGGGCCCCTATTATTTCCATTAGTGCCTAACCCTATCCTTAGCAGCGGAAGTACCAAGAGCTCCTCAGCCCTCAGATTCCCACTGAAGTCATTAAAAGATTGGTAAATAGGGACAAACTGTATCACCACAGGAAGTCCGCAGTGGGTATTAGTCACATCCTGAAAACCTAGAGAAATTTTGCTTGCTGGGGAATTATACTAAAGGCCTTGGCCTGAAAAGTTCATTGGAGGTAGAGTCAAGAGAACATCTGCTCTGGGAAGCCTCCCTGCCTGTCAGAACCACTACTCCCTCGAACTCGGAGACCTCAGAATTCTGGAAGGAGGAAGTGGAGGGTGGGCTGCATGGCCTGCCAGAAACCCTGCCACACGGCTCCTACCTGTCTGGGTGGGGCTCTGGCTTCCGGCCTCCACATCAGTAGTGTCTGCTGTCCTCTGAGATGGGCACATCAGGCCGGGCTGTGGGCCCTGCCTGGAGGAGAGCTCTTTCCAAGGCAACAGCCGCCACATCTCCGCAGTGAGGGCCCTGGCTGTGTTCTGGTTTAGGGTCCCTCTGCCTGGGCGAAGGGTCTCAGAACCAGCCGTTCCCACACACAGAGCCTCTGCCTCCAATTTAAGCCAGCTGGCTGCCCCCTGAGAGGCCTTTCCCTGGCTCCTCAACCCCTATTTGATTTTCTACCTTGACTCTTAACATGCTTTTGCTTCTAAAGCTCTGTTTCCATTGTCCCTTGGGCGCTTCTTAATCGTTTTCTAGTCCCTGCATGACACCAGCTCCTTCGGTTCAGCTGTATACGTAGATTTGAATTTGGCGACGTGGTATCTGATGCAGTGCCCACTGACAAATTCTTTGTGTGCTGTCATCAAAATAAAACCTTTAATCCCTTTCAATTGGCCACTTCTGCCCTTCTGCATACCACTATTTGGTCCTGGATCGACTCATTTCTTTATTTTAGTTTTTTCTTCAAGCTACAGCAGCAAAGACTCACCCAAGACCACGCTGCCCATAGTCACTGGAGCTGGATCCTCCAAGGCTGCCCCAAGCTTTCCATTTTAATGGCCCAGTCGGTCCTTTTCAGTCCCAGGAGCTCCATGTCCCTTAGTTGGGAGAGTTTCCACATCTTGTAGATAGGGCCACTGAGGACATGCATGCACACCTTGCTGCTAGGCTTAAAGTCACATTCAGCTAGGACGTCCCACCTTGTCCCATGTGCTGCAGGCAGTAAGCATGTACATGATAGGGCTATCAGTGGCCTGCACCTGCAGTGCCTCTCGCACATACACCAGAGCCCTTCTCAGGGTTTACATACTTCCTGGCAGGTTATGGGTAGGGAACTAGAATTCACCACCTATCAGTTAGATTTCTTTTCAGTTCAGCTTCCTATTAAGCACTAATGCTCAAACTGTACCATTACATGACGTAAAGAGCTTGGTAGTATTAGGAAGACCTTGCCCCGTGCAGGGTACCGGGACTATGTTTCTATGCACTGCTTCTCAATTGCTTCAAAAGGGAGAGAAAGCTTGTTTTATCTTTTTCCTTTGGAATACCTCTTATTCATGGATTTCCTTTTTCAACCAGAAGCCCAGTTCCAAGCTGATATTCTAGGATCCTGTTGTTCATAGGTTTTACTGAAACGAATAGACTTAATTGGTTTCCTAAACTACCCACTGGACTTTAGTTCCCAGGAAATGGTGGTCTATGGTCAGGAGGTGACAGCAGCACTCTTATTGAGGCCTGGGACTTCCGTCAAGTCATGGACCAGTGTGTGCCTCCTCTTTTTGCAGTGGTCTTGTTCCACCAGCATTTGATTGGGTATAATTTTAGACCAGATTCACCTAGTGCATCAGTCTGGGTCCTAGCAGGAGAGAAAGAGTGTACTTAAGTTAGGATAACTGGAGAGGGCTTTGTTTACAGAAAGACCATTATAAAGGTGTGTGCGAGGTATAGTGGAACCCAGGAGAAAGGATACTGCAAGAAGCTAAGGTTTGAAGCAGTGAACAGTTGCTTTTCCTAGGCTGAAGGGATGAGATGCAGGAGAACCCACAGGAGCCAGACAAGACCTCCTTCCTCAGTGTGCTGACCCCAGTCTTCCCATTCTCTGGCTCTCACTGGGTCCCACTGGGAGAACCCAACTTGATTAGCCCGAGGGCCTGGAGTCTATGGGCGCTGTCCACATAGGTTGGAATCCCATGAGCGGAGCAGCAAACCAAAGATCTGGCACATTCGGAAGTCTAGTGTTGAATTAGGTCCATTCCTTGCTGCAGTTTGAATGTTGTTCCAAAGATGATGCTAGGCTCAGACAGTGACACCTCTGAGCAAAGCTGTATGCTCCCTACTCTTTCTGTTAAGCACAGAAAGGCCCAGAGCTCTTGAGTCCCTAAATATCCTCCTGAATTGGTTTGGTGAGATGGTGATCAAGATAATTTTCTTGGGGCTGGTGGGATAGCTCAGTGACAGAGTATGTGCTCAGCACACACGAGGCCCAGAGTTCCGTCCTATTGCATGTGACACGCATGCACATCCCCACACACGTGCACACACTTAGCTTTCTCCCGCCTCAGCTTACCTGTACCTGATAATGCACACTGCTACCACAGGGGTGGGCCCTCTGCTGAAGGGGACAAGGATGGGGTGGGGGCAAGGTTGGACAGCAGGGAGCAATGGAGAAAGGGCCACGAAAGTGGATGAAGACCCAGGACATTTGGAATTAGTGGCTGGCTGGTCCCAGCCCTGGCTAAGCTGTCCTGCCTCAGCACGATGCCCAGCTGGGACCTTCTTGCTGGGCTCACCTTCTTTGGAGCTTCCAAGGTTTAGAAATGAGAGCTTTCTGCTCACATGGCTGCAGAAGGCTGCAGATAGTCAGAAGCGGCAAAGACAGGTGAGCCTGTGGTCTAGGGAAGATGCAGCATGGGGTGATGGTTAGAGCTCAGAGTCAGAAGCCAGGCGGCTGGAGTTTATATTCGATCTCTGACCCTCACAGCCTCTGTGAGGGCTACCTGTTTTTCTTAAAGGAGTCAGTGAGTTAGCATTTGCAAAGTCCTCAGAGCCCAGCACATGCAAAGACCCCTATAAATGTTGGTCAAACTCGAACAGCGGTACTTGCTGGGTATCTCCCAGGCCTGCCCACCTAGGGATTCCTGAGATTGGCAGTGGTTTCCTTCCTGTCAATGCACACGTGACTGTTAAAGGTTATGGGCCTGTGTGGTTTTTAGGAAAGGATAGCAAAATTGCCTCTAAGATGAACAGGCTCTCTTCTGAGCAATACCTGTCCTTTGGCGACAGGCAAAGAGTAGACCCCTGATCTGCCCACCATTCACTTCCGTGGTAGGACACTATCAAGGATATTCCTGGTCCAGGCTGAGTAGGGCCATTCTGTCCTGCGGCGCATTGGCATATTGCCTCTCGGGCATGGCCGGGGCACCCTTCAACATCCCCCGGCTGAGGAATTTTCTTCATCGACTAAGAGCAAGTTGTGCCTTTGGCCAGGTAATGTAAGTCCTGAGATTCGGTACAAATGGGATGCAGTAATTCTTGTGTTTTAATTGTGGGTTCTCATCAGGAGGAATCTACAGCCTTTCATTAAGGCAAGAAGTTTCTGTGCAAGACATGCCAGACTGTTCAAGAAGATCCTGTTGGGCCTCTTGTGTCTGGGTGAGATAATGAGAATTTATGGAAGGGAGAAACACAATCGCTTTAGGAATGTCACCTTGTGTCATGGTGATTACTAGGTAGAAAGCAATTTTATTCTTAAAGTGGCCTAAAGGCTATTTGATGTGCAGATCTTAACTCCTTGCAGGCAAACCATAATTTATTCAATTGCACCTGCAGGAGCAAGTAAAATTTCACAATAAAATAGTTTTCAAAACTGTGTTAGGTGACAGATTGAAAATGTTTCAGGGAAGAAGGGCTTATCTATTTTTTAGTGTCTTGATTTCATGCAGAGCACAATTTCCTGTAGTCTTTATGAGGGGAGCCTGTATTATAGATCATGTATTTGCTGGTTTACAAGTAAAATCACTGATATAAAATATTTTTAAGACAGTAAATCTCTGTTTAAAATAAATTGTCAGCGATGTACAGGGCTTCAATGTCAACATTAGAAGCAGCTGGGAGGGTGACAACAAAAATTATATTTTGGGGTGGGAAAGGGAGGGTGATGGCCATATGGCTGTCTTTCCTCATGGTTGGCTTGTTTACATGATTTGTTATTGTTGTTTGGCGGTGGGGAGATCCACTCCCCGCCTCCATCCCAGGCAAGCACTCTACCTCAGAGTTACATCCCCAGCCTTATGCTTACATGGCTTTGCCCAAGAGAAAAGTTTAACCTTTTAGCATTTGAACACTACTGGGGCGATGCAGTTTCAAGAGGAGATGAATGGCTTTTGAAAACTCTCATGGTGGTTGCTTATGGAATCTACTCTAAGGGATGGAAAGGGATATCTATCAGATAAGAGTGAGGTTTCACCAGGGACCAGGGGACATAGGCGATCTTCAGAATAAATCGGAGTGGCCTTGGGAATCTAAGAAGAGAGCAGTTAGAGTTCTCCTTGGCCTCGAGGGGTGCAGCCTATCTGGCAGCAGGGCTGGGTGGCGAGATCTCTGGAAGGTTTCTTGCTCGAAGCCACAGGCACTCAGGGCAGGACCTTCATTTGCCCACCAAGGCTCTGCCTCGCTGATCCTCCGCACCTTCCTTCTCTTTTTAGCATACACTGCCTACTTCCTGGCAGCTTGCATCCTGGATTTCCACAGGGCACTGGCCTTGTTCGTCATCACCTGCTTGGTGCTCTTTGTCCTGGCTCACCACTTTCTGGAAAAGTTCTTTGGTAAAAAATTAAGCAGATGTCTGAAGCCCTTGAAAAACTCTCGCCTGCGAGTTTGGATGCAGTGGTAAGAGAAGACTCTCAGTATCTCTGGCCCCTCAACTCATCCTGAACCCCAGCCTGCTCCTACTTCTCCTCTGACAGTTCCTGAATGGTCTCTCAGGCCCTTACCTAGATTTCGAAAAACCAAAGGGCAGAAGGCAAAGGGCAACACCACGCCTCTGTGTGCCAGATCTCAGGCTGGTCCTGGGTCTCAGCCTTGGGTCTCAACATTGCTAGGGCACAAGACAGGCTGTTTTAGAGAAGAGTTTCAGTCTAAGGTCAGGCCTGTGTCAGAAAGGAGAAAAACCACGCTTCTCTCCAATGAAGTTATCAGAGCACAGAGGCTTGCAGTTGGATTGTTATGGAGTTAATTATGTAGTTAATATCTGTGTCTCCCTTAGGTCCCTGATATTTTTATGCCTTTCCCTATCTAGTCTTCCAGAGCTCCTCCACCCACTGATGGCTTTTACAATTCCTTAGAATTTAAGGAGCAAGCTTATTATTCAGTATACACCAAAACCAGATTCCAAGCAGCTTCTCTAACTATGTCATGCACATGTCCTTCAACACAGACTAACTCTCAGATTGCTCATCAATCTGTGAGTCCAGTGGATGCATAGTGTTAAGGACGCAGGTGTTAAGGATGTTTGCAACAGAGACACTCTGGAGAAATCACACCACCTAAATTTTGGGTCACTGACTTATTAGACACTGGGGAGAGAGAGCTACAATGACTTTGCTCTTTAATAAGATAGATTCTGGAAGCCAGATTTTCTTCTCTGTAAGTAAACTAGGTTTACAGCGAGAAGGGCTCTGCATTTCAGTCATGACCTGTGAATGCCTTCTGTAGTTTGGCTCCAGAGCTGTCGTGATTGAACGGTGTGCTCTTGTGTTTTGTTTTATCCATGATCTCCCTCCTCATTCTTTCCCCTTGGACTTGAAGGCTGAAATTCTCAGATGAAGAAACCAGTCTGCATATTAACTAAATGTGTTTGATAACCCAAAAGACGGTGAGATCATAAGTAGTTGATCTGGAGTTAACTAAGCCATTCCTTTTGCCCTTGGGATGGTTAGAAATTGGGAGGAGATTCATGGAACCAACATACACTTTTCCTCCTTTGGTTTCCAGTATTTTGATTATTTATTGGAGCAACCTTTAAGAATGAGTCTCTTAGTCAATAAAATGTTATTGGGTTATCTCTATGCACACATTAAACTATTGTTTTCATCATGACGGCAAACACGTTAAAATGAGCAAGTTATTCTGTTCTTAGTCAATGGAATTAAACGGAAATTTATGTAGGAGCAAATAGTATTCTTAATAAAATATCCACATGCCTAAATCAGCTGCTACTTCAAATTTATTAATGTAAGAATAGCGTGCTACAAATATATGTACAGAAATGTTTCCTCTGTCTTCTGATTCTTTAGTTAATCCACATTTCAAGTAAATAAATTTCCTCTCCCATGATAAAAAAGTCTTTATGTTATATTTTATTGACACAAAAACTTAAGGAAAAGAAAATCCTGTGATTTGTGTCCTCAGATTAGAATCCTCCCACTTCCTTCCATGAGTGGAAGAGTTGGGAGGGGAGGAGGGGAAGCAAGAGGGAACTACTAGATGAATGGTTCTCAAGACATAGTCCTCTGTCTAATCAGCAATGAATGACTGAGTTATTTCCCCTGTCCTTGGAGTGACCTGTTTTTACAGGTAATTACTTGTTACTCACTCACTGAGTCCGTGACATGATCTTGGCTCTCCTTTTTCAGGGCGATCGCAGGTGTCTCTCTGGTTGGCCTCGTCCTGTGGCTGGCTCTCGACACGGCACAAAGGCCAGAGCAGCTCATCTCCTTTGCAGGAATCTGCATGTTTCTCCTCATCCTCTTTGCCTGCTCCAAACACCACAGTGCCGTGAGTTGTGGGTATCCGGGTTGGTCATAGCAAGGATCAGGTACTAATTGCATAATACAATCTGTGATCAAAAAAGCGAGCCTGAGTTGAAATTAAAAACGCATTACAGGGCCAGGGATTTAGCTCAGTGGTTCCGCCGCCTGCCTTGCAAGCACAAGGTCCTGAATTCGATCCCCGGTACCCCCCCCCCCAAAAAATGCATTACAGTAAAAGGTGCATTGCCACTAATCTGCCTTGAAATACTCCCACTTGCCTTGAACACACTTATCCCACTGTTTTTGTCATTCTCTGAAGCAGCTCTAGATTCCTCTTTTGTGAGTGTCTTTAGTTGCACTGTCGTGGTGCCTTGATGTTCAGAATTAATGAAAAACATTTCCCTTCCATGGTCATTTCGACCCTGGGGAAGAGCCAGGAGTCACACGGTGCCAGATCCAGTGAGTAAGGCGATGAGGACCACTAATATTTTCATGAGCTGCCCTTTCCATCAGATGGCACTCTGTAGCAGCAATCACTGTATTTTTGATTGGACCTTGTAAAGACATCAATGAAAGAAGACTTGCAGAACTGCTTCAGAAAGTGACAGAATGATGGGATGAGTGTGTTCAGAGTGAGGGTGGGTACTTTGATGGGGTTAATGGCAATGTGTCTTTTATGTAATACGTTGTTTTTGATCACCCCTCAAACAAGTGTCAAATATTCTTTACAAAGGGTGTAGAACTATGTTGTTGTTATTGTTGTTTTAACAACTCCTGGAATTTGCCTCTTACAGAGTTTTGTTTCTAAGTGAAGTTTTAAAGCTCTGGAAAGTCATAGGTCATTTATTTTCAAATTGTAGGTTGGAATCTATTAATGAGTCTTGATAATAGGTTTTGTGGATTTAGGCCAGCAAGAAAGAATAAAAGGGAAAAAAGAAAGAAGGAAGGAAAGAAAATAGAATACAATAGAGGATCAGGTTGCACTGCAGATAGTAATGTTAAAAAATTGGTTTATGAAACTTATTTACATGAATATATATATGTATGTATGTATTGTAAGTGTCATCTAACTTCTAGATACATTTTAAAAAACGACACAGACATATGTGTCTATTTATTACTGCCTTGTTTTTCCTTACTGTATTCCAACACTGGTCTCTATACCATTTTATTCTAAATGTGCTGTTAACAACCTAGGTTGGTTCTACCCAGTGTCCATGTATCCACTTTAAAAGTCTAGCCAGGAAGTGGTCAAGAACTCACATTGAGATCCTTTTCTTATTGATCCTAGGTGTCCTGGAGGATAGTGTTTTGGGGCCTGGGTCTTCAGTTTGTCTTTGGGATCTTGGTCATCAGAACTGATCCTGGATTCATTGCTTTTCAGTGGCTGGGAGAACAGGTTCAGGTATGGGAAATTAAATGTGAGGGCTTGGTTCTTTCAGAACTCTTGAGAAAGGAGATCTGAGGGAAGTATGAGAAGATTAGGCTGTGTCTTGCTAATGATGGTGGTGGGAGGTCAAGCTGGGAAGGGCAGAGAGAAATGGGATTCAAATGAGAATATGAACGAAGGGAACTGACCTGTTGAGTCTAGCATTCAGTGAGTGGCTCCTGGGGACATATCCTGGCTGCAGGCCATCAAAGGGAGGCCACCTCTGGAGTGGCAGCAGGTCCTAATCACCCATGTGGAGGACCCCACCTTCGCGTGTCCTGCCTGGCTTCATGCTTGTTCTCTGTATTTTTTCCCCTTTCAGATTTTCCTGGACTACACTGTGGCTGGCTCCAGTTTTGTCTTTGGAGATACACTGGTCAAAGATGTCTTTGCTTTTCAGGTCATATCTGTTTTATGGGCAGGAATGATGATGAGTGGAGGGTGACAGTGGATGATCAGTGGATATGTGTACAACCTGAGAAAGAGGGTTTCACCCATCAGTAAAGGAAACTATCGATCTTTTGCCCTTTAATCCTATCCTGAAATTGGATAAAATGGGGATGGGGAAGAAAGTCTCAAAAAAAATCTCTTTGTGTTTTAGTACTGATGCAATAATAGATTTGGTATGCATTTAAAATTTATTCTTAAAGTATACCGTATCAGATGCTCTTGGATGCCGGGAGCTTAATTTAGAGCCCTGAGCTACAGTTTACTCATTACATACCTTGCACATACAAGGTACTATCTTATCAGCTGCTCCCCGTTCTCATTACAGTCCTTACCAATCATCATTTTCTTTGGGTGTGTGATGTCCATTCTCTACTACCTGGGCCTCGTGCAGTGGGTAGTTCAGAAGGTGAGTCACTTTCCTACTTCAGGCAGGAGATGGGCCTTCATCTTGGGATCTGCCAAGGGCACTGAGATGATACTTTGGAACTGCTTCTATGTAGGATGTGGAGTGTTAGAACCAACGTGGTGTGTTAGATTTCCACTGCTGTGACAAAATATCTGAGGAAATCCATTGAAAAGGAGGAATGGTTTAACTTGGCTCATGGTTTCAGAGGCTTCAGTCCATGGGTGGTTGGCTCCACGGTTTGTGTTTTGGGGCCTGTGATGAGGCAGAACATCATGGCAGAGAATGGTGCAGCAAAGCTACTCACCTCATGGTGGCCAGGGAGCAAAGAGAGAGAGGAAGTGGCCAGGGCCTCAGTGTCCCCTTCAAGGCCACTCCTCCAGTTACCTAACTTCCTACCACTAGGCTCCACCTCCCCATAGTGCCATAGGCTGGTGACCAAGCCTTCAATACATGGGCTTTTGGGGACACTGAAGATCTAAACTATAGCCAATGGTGGGCCCAAGCCCTAGGTAGGCTGTGGGGCAGAGAAGCTGAGCTCAGCCACCCCTTTGTCTTGAGTTTCAACATACTTGCTTTACAGGCCAAGAGGCCTCAGTTCTGGTCCAGGCTCTGTTGGTAACTTTTTCTGTGGCCTCATGCTACACTACCTCCCTAGGCCTCAGATTTCTTGTCAGTAGAATGGAGAAGGAGGGGTTTTGCTGTACATTCTCTGAGATTCCTGCTCATGTTGATGGTGCAGATGTCTGTATGCTTTTAGATCGCCTGGTTCTTGCAAATCACCATGGGCACCACTGCCACGGAGACCCTGGCTGTGGCAGGAAACATCTTTGTGGGGATGGTAAGCACCCTGCGGCCTTTTGGTCTTCTGTTCTCTGGGGAACTGAGAACGTGGCAGTAAACAGGTTCAGACAAGTGTGCTTCTTTATGAAACTCAAATAAAGACTGTGGGACTGCAAAGCCCCGATGAAAGAACTCTCAGAAGCTCTCTGAGGACCCAGTTCATCTGCTGTCACCCTTCAGGCCTAATAGTACTTCCGTGGGGGCTGGGGATTTAGCTCAGTGGTTCTGGCGCCTGCCTTGCAAGCGCAAGGTCCTGAGTTCGATCCCCAGTACCAAAAAAAAAAAAAAGAAATTAAAAAAAAAAAAAAGTACTTCCGTGGGCACACTTAATCTGCATGTATGACCTAAGTCACCGACTCAACTTCATGCACAGGAATTTAGGGGGTTTTCTGGTCCAAATCTTATCTCCCTTCAGGATCTAGCAGAATGTTTGAGCTGTATTTAGTTTCTTCCCATGATTCCCTGGGACCCTCATTTTCAGTGTCTCCAAAGTAGCTTGTCTTTCTCAGCACAAAGACCAGACTCTTTCCTATAATACTTGGCTCGTCTGTAAGGAGTATGCCCTCATTATAGGCTATCAGCTGATAGTTAGTATGGAGGTCTTTCTATCTCAAGGCCCTAGGCTGATACCTGTTTCAGGTATTACTACCACATACCCCTCCACATTTTGCTGAAATGATCCACAATCAGCTTAGTTTCCCCTGCTAGACTCTAAGCTCCTAAGAGTAGGAACTGCCCTTTTCATATTAATATCCCTAACATCTAGTATAAGACTAGGTATATAGTTGGCACTTATTAAATGATAGCATCGTGGGTTGATGGTAGGTATGTATAGTTTACATAGCTGGGCCTTCATAAGTTCATAATATTAACCCAAACATTATTTCTGTTCATTATTTCATAAAGAGTTAGCTTACATCAGCTCTTTACAATTCATGTAATGAACACTTTGCAAGCATCTAATGTATACTCAGTAAGTGTATTCTGTAAGTTCTTTCAGTAAGTGCATGGATTTACACCTTGAGAACATACAAAGGAAATATGCCATTTACCTTCCATCACAGTTTAAACCATGATACAAACACACATGGAAGCAGCGAGGACACCATAGAGGGAGTGAAGCAGATGCCAGGAGAGCCTCAGGGGCCGACCTTGGGGCCCACTTAGCAATGCTGGGCCTCACTGTCAGAGTCTCCACTGCAGGGGATAAGATTTGGATCAGGACAGCATTCACACTAGAGGGCTAAGTGTCTAGTGGGTGCAGTCTCTAGGCTGGGGTGGGCACGCTGGTAAGGGAGTCACACCCTCTTGGAATCTGTCTTCTCCTTGTTTATAGACAGAGGCACCTCTGCTCATCCGCCCCTACCTTGCAGACATGACCCTCTCCGAAATGCACGCGGTGATGACTGGAGGGTTTGCCACCATCGCAGGCTCTGTGCTGGGAGCCTTCATATCCTTCGGGGTAGGCACTGTCTGCTCATCGTTCCTGGGGGACCTGGGCTGGGTTCTGCCGAGACGCTCAGCCCCTCTCCGGCCCTACAGATAGACGCGCCATCTTTGATCTCCGCCTCTGTCATGGCCGCCCCTTGCGCTTTGGCCTTGTCCAAGCTGGTGTATCCGGAAGTGGAGGAGTCCAAGTTCAAGAGCAAGGAGGGGCTGAAACTGCAGCGTGGGTGAGTCAGGAGCCGTTTCCCAGCGGAGTCGAAGGGTGGCCGAGATAGGCCCTCTGCGGCGGTGATGTCATCTCCTGTGGGAGGAACGTGATCCCAGGTCCCTTCTTCTTTCTCCTACTGATTTTCTTCTGTGGCTTGGCCCTCCCCCTGCCACTGGCTTCTGCAACCAGCATTTCTTGTCCACGGCGTCAGTGCCATATTGTGGTGATTGATTATATCAGAGTAATGTCCATGACCAGGGTCACTAAGGAACCCCTTCAGCCTTCACCCTGGCCTGGTCCCCACTGCCTACACTGTAGGAACAGTGGCAGTTCCCTTTAGTGAGCACCTGAGACAACTCCAGACCCCACACCCTTTCCCTGTGCCCCATAACCACAGGAAGGAGAGGAACATTCTGGAAGCTGCCAGCAGTGGAGCCACAGATGCCATAGGCCTGGTTGCTAACATAGCAGCCAACCTGATCGCCTTTCTGGCTGTTTTGGCCTTCATCAACGCTGTCCTCTCCTGGATGGGGGAATTGGTGGACATACACGGGCTCACTTTCCAGGTAACGGATTGCGTGTTGGGGTGTCCCTCGCGGGTTCATAGTCCTGGAACTGGGGGTGGCCTCCTACTCACAGTAAGCTAAAAAGAAAGCATGCAAGAAGGGGAGATATTGGGCCAGGGCTCCAGAGAAGGCCCTTGGCATGACTGTTCTGATTTATTCTTCCTCTTTCCCGGGCACCTCTCCTTCATCCAGGTCATCTGTTCCTATGTGCTGAGGCCCATGGTTTTCATGATGGGTGTGGACTGGGCAGACTGCCCCATCGTGGCTGAGATCGTGGGAATCAAGTTCTTCACCAATGAGTTTGTGGCCTATCAGCAGCTGTCTCAGTACAAGAACAAACGTCTCTCTGGAGTGGAAGAGTGGCTTGAGGGCGAGAAGCAGTGGATTTCTGTAAGTGACGATCCAGAAAAGCATACACAGCAGGAGATCTTGGCTGTGGATGTTTGACAGTAGAGAGAAAGTGTGACACAAAAGTTGGTGGTCGCACTGCAGATGCTTTCCAGTGCAGGGCCAACCACGAAGCAAGCAGAATCATATGTTCAGCAGCCTCTCCTTGAATTTCTCAGCTACTCCAAGGGCTTGTGCTGTTTCCCCCCTGTTCTCTGACCCAGTGTCTGCCTGGAGTGTAATTGTTAGGTCCTTTCAGTGTCGAGGGAAGCCACCCTTTTGGATGGGCTAAGGCACCTTTTTCTTTTTTTTTTTGGTACCGGGGATAGAACTCGGGTCCTTGCGCTTTCGAGACAGGTGGTGGAACTACTGAGCTAAATCCCCAGCCCTTCACCTTCTTCATTTTTAAGATGCTATGACTAGATCTCCCTTCTCTCCTCCTTGCCTCTCTAACTCTTCCCTTTTGTCACTCATTCTTATGCCTTCACTTTATTCAACAATATGAGTGTTGGGCAGAGAAGCCCGTGATGGTTTCTGTGTCATTGTCCCCACAGTAACTCACGAAGCAGTTACTTTCTGAGTCCTCTTTGTGCACCTGAGGCCCTAAGTACCCTGGAACGTTCATCACGATCGTAAGACTGTGCACGTGGGACTGAATTGATCCGCTTATTTATTTTTGTTTTCCCTAGGTGAAAGCTGAAATCATTTCAACATTTTCACTCTGTGGATTCGCCAATCTCAGTTCCATGGGAATCACTCTGGGAGGCTTGAGTGAGTTGTTAATTTTCTCTGGCTCCCCAACGAGTCAGCCAGACCCCAGCTTCCTTAGTGGGAAGTTCCAGGTGCTCAGCACCAGTTGGGACTCACAGAAGCTGATGTGAAGTGGGGCCTCGCGGGTTGCAGTTAACTCAGAGCTAAAGCAATCAAGCTACCTGGCTATGGAGTAAGCCCTTTGTAATATCAACTTTAGTTGCTTTTTTTCTTGTTGCTATCCAAGTTCCCCAAGCAACAAAATTTAAAATTTTTTGTCATTTTGCTATGAGTAATAAAATGTTAGTGTGTCTGTTTTGCCATTAAATGGTCCTAGTGCATATACAAGTAAAGATATTTTTATTGTTATTCAGTTTTATTCTGGAATTAGGCTAGTTGGGAAGACTAGTTGTCTTCCCAGAAACAGGATTTGTGTAAGGAGTGAAAAAGACAAATGAGCTGGGTGTAATCCTCTTTGCCTAGCACTGTAACTGTAGCACTCTGGGAGGCTGAGGCCAGAGGGTCCCAAATTTGAGCTCGGCCTGGACAACTTGTGATTTAAGTGAGACCCTCTCTCAAGATAAAAAATTAAAAAGGGTTGGGGATGTGGCTCAGTATGAGGGTCCAGGGCTCTATCCCTAATACACACACACACACACACACACACATACATACACATGCACACACACGCACACATGCATACACACACAGATACATGAAAGCAGCAGACACACAAGACAGATCCAACAAGATAAGTGTTGGGTCCAATGCTAAATGTCACCGAGCATGGCAGGAGTGGGTGTGAAGCAGACATGGATCAACTTCCAGTTGCTGGATGTGAGTGAGGGCTGAATGTGAGTGATGGTTGGAGTAACAGCATGAGGAAGGAAGATGGGAGGGCCCTAGTGGGCAGGGGCATGACCCACAGATCCAAGTTAAAAATGGATCTTATGCAGGCGCGAAGTCCCAAGTTCGATACCTGGTACCAAAAAAAAAAAAAAAGGGATCTCAGAAGAAACAAAGTTCAGAGCATTACACAAACATCATTTTCATGGAGATCATATTCTGGAGTAGAATCATTGAATTTATTTATTTGATAGCCGAGCGAACAATTTGAAGGTGAAATACTTTCCTTTTGATTCATCTTTTCCCTCCCATTAAGTACTGTTCCAACTCAGATGCCTGGTCACTGATAATAAGAAGGCCAGCTAACAGCGAGATGCGCATTGTCTGGCCAAAGCTTAGGTCAGTGTTGCCCTCTTTAGTCCTCTGGCTCGAAATGGTCCATGTGGTTCTGGTTCAGGCTTCAGAGTGGAAATCTCAGTTGGCAACGATCAGGCATTTGTACCCACCTGGAGCAACCCTGAGCCTTGCATGACCCAGACATAGCTTAGGTGTGGTCACAGAACCACCGCAGTGAGGGTCAGATGCATGATCCTTGCTGAGGGAAATCCAAGCAGCAATCCCCCAGGACCAAAGCAGGTGCACATGCAGGCCAACACATCGGCCTTAGGCGGTTGGTGATGGAGATGCTGCTCTTCCTCTGCTGAGTTTTGCTCCTCTGCATCCTTCTAAATGGGGGCATCTGGCACAGAACTGACATTGGGGTGAGGAAGAGATCAAATTAGTTTGTTCTGTCTACAGCGTCCATAATACCCCACCGGAAGAATGACTTGTCCAAGCTGGTGGTCAGGGCCCTCTTCACGGGGGCCTGTGTGTCCCTTATCAGCGCCTGTATGGCAGGTAGGTGCCTCAGTGGGGCCTCCCGGTGAAAATCATGTACCTGGATCATGAGAAAGTTGCTCTCAGAATATTGATTCCACTGTCTGCTCCATAGATGTGTAGAAAAGGCACTTAAAGTACAGGATCCTCAATTAAGAACTAGTACAACCCCTATGGAAATTAGTATGGACATTCCTCAAAAAATTAAAACTAAAATTTCCATATGACCCAGCCACTCCCCTTCTAGATACTTCCTCAAAGAATTAAAGCCATCATACTACAGTGATCCATTCACACCCGTGCTTATAGCAACACAACTCATAACGGCTAACTCTTGGGAGCAGCCTGTATGTCCATCAGCACATGAAAGGATACAGAAGATGTGGATTTTTTCCATAATGGAGCAGTACTCTGCCATAATGAAGGATAAATCTGAGTCAGTATTAGGAAAACAGATGCACCTTGAGACCATAATGTTAAATGAGATAAATCAAACACACAAGCTTAGATACCACATGGTTTCTCTTATATGAGAAACACAAAGTATAAATAAATGAAAGAGCAAAACAAGAGGTAGATAATAGGAAACAGGAAGATAGATCTTTGGCAAATGGGAAGGGCATAAAGAGATGGAGGGAGGGCGGGAGGGGAAGTTGGTGAACAAAGAATTAAGTTGTGCTCTGTCCATGGACCAACTCCCCATGAGGGATGTACTCACTATATACTGCACACCTGAACTCATAAAAATAAAGATTGATGATAAAAAGAACAAAGAATAAGGAGCCTTGAGGACATGTGCCAAGTCAGGGTCCTGATGGTGTCCATCTCCTTTGTCCAGGAATCCTCTATGTGCCCAGGGGAGCCGAGGCGGACTGTGTCTCCTTCCTAAACACAAGTTTCACCAACAGAACCTATGAGAGCTACGTGTGCTGCCGAGAGCTCTTCCAGAGGTGAGTGAGCGCCAGGACCCTTCTCTTACACGTCCTCCTCCACGCAGGAGCCCCTGGGTGGGAGAAAGAAGCCCTGGTGAGGAATCCCGTGTGAGAGGAGACACGAGTGCTTTTGACGGCATAGAGCCGTGCTCTCCCCTTGTCAGGGGCACCTTTGGTGGGAGTCCCTCTGTGCCCAGGGACGGGTTCTAGCTGTACTGGTGGGTCCTGAGCAGTGGAGGGGCAGGGGAAGAACACAAAGGAAGTGGTTTCTCTCATGAGAAGTTAATGTGGTTTTTAAAATCATAATTGGAATATAGATAGATTGAAGGGGAAGACTTAGCAATGGGCCCAAGTGGTGAAAACATTATGGGCTTCTTCATACAGAATGAATATTACTGAGAGAGGACACAGTTAAATTTATAAAATCACGATGCATTCACATGGTGTGAAAAAATGAGCTTCTTTATCAGTTTCTAGCATATGAAAAGAATATATCATTAAAGTAGAAAAACTGGTTTGGGGACACAAAAAGGAAGGGGTTAAGGAGCTCGAGTGTTAAAGCAGAAGGTGTGTGCCCTGCTGGGGACAGATGGTAAGGAGGGGAGGTCAGGGTATGAGGCCGGAAGAGCATGGAAGGCTTTGTAAGAAGTGCTAGGCAGCTGAGGTTTAGACTGGAAGAATTCTGAATGCTGACATGATCGATCAGCTGTGCTTTGAGGGAAGATCCTCTGGTAGCCACTTGGGTGCCAGGGAGATGGATTCGGACACCGTTGTGTCAGTGAGAGCTGACACTAAGAGGCTGTGAGGATGGAGACACAAAGCCCAGCAGAATCAAGAGCGTTGGTCATCACTTGGACAAGAGGAATGGGTGGGGTGGGGAGGATGAACAGCCATGTCTTCTGGCTTGGGCAGGTGCATCTAAAAATGCTATTTATTCATGGAGAAGGAGTGGGCTGGTTCCAGGAAGGGGAAGATTATTATGGCCTCCTACGGTTTTGGATATGTTAACCTGGAGGTAGCTGTGGGACCATCATGTAAAGCTGCTCAAGCCACCTGGGGCCTGGGGTTTGGAAGAGGAATCAGAGCTGGAGACACCTTTGGAAATCATCATTCATTAGCGGTCTGTTCCCCATACGGTGGATATCAACGGCCTAGCTGCTTCACAGGCCATTAGGTCCAGTGAATGGATGCTGCCCAGCCTGGGCTTTGAGCTCATCATCAGCGAAGCAGCCAGTGTCCTCCATAGTTAAAGCTGAATTATAATCTGGGTAGATCACTGGTTTGGCAGTGTTTCAGTGACTGTGTTCTTACTGGTGGATTTTCCCGGTTACATATTGACGGTCATTAGCAGCTAGAATCTGAAAGAGATGTTTTTGTCCAATTAATTATACTAATTTAGTCTGAGCTGTTTTCCTTTCTCAGAAGGAAAAAGGCCTTGGGATTTTACCTTGCTTTTTAGAATAAATTTCATTTGCGATCACTGCTAGGCATAAATTTTGCCTCAGGTCTCCGGAAAGGAAAGTTGTAGATGGGCTGTGGTTAGGAACTGGGCACACTACGGGGTTCCTGCTGCTCTTATTGCCAGTGAATGAGAGAATAAATTTAATTGGTTCTAATTTATTTAGTCATGGCTGATGGATGCATTTGTAGGCTCCGGTTTTGCTTTAGCTGCCTGGTACCAATTACTGATCCATGTCGTAGGCTTGTTTTTTCCTGACACACTGACTCTGGCTTTCCATTTCAGCGTGTCTTTAAATGGCACCAACAGACTTTCTTTTTCTGGTCCCTGGGAGAGCAAGGAGTTCAGTGCCACGGCTCTTGCTAACTGCTGTAAATTCTACACCAACGCCGTCTGCGCCTAAGCTGGTTGATCCATTTCCATGACACTTCTCAACAGCTGTTTCATGACAGCGGCATTTATGTACTCAGGGCGACCATCCTATAATGAACTCACTGGGATCTATAATAGTGAAAGATTCATTTTGGTTCACTGTATCCAAACATGAAAATTAGCGTTCATCTTTCAGTTGTCTGGGTGAACCAAATGAGAAATTCCTCATGGGCCCTCCTGAGCTTTTATTTGTTTTCTGTTTTTTTCTTTTTTGGTACCGGGGATCGAACTCGGGTCCTTATGCTTTCGAGGCAGGCACCAGAACCACTGAGCTAAATCCCCAGCCCCTGAGCCTTTATTTGAAAAAAATAAATGTTACCATATCAAAAAAAAAATCTTGGAAACCTTGCTGCTAGTTGCCATCTTAAATTATGTGTTGTAGTATGCTATAAAAGTGATTTAGTATCTGTTGTGTCTGGGGACAGAGGTGGAGGGAGCTATATTTCTTGGAGTTTTGTGGATGAGCTGAGCTTATATTACTAAAGTCACATGTAAAAGGTACATGAATATTTAATGATAAAATTTTTCTGGTTGTCATGTATTTGTAAATCTGCAAACTCTTCGACATCAATACACAGTAAACAAAAAGTTCTGTATACAAACTTCTCAGGAAGGTATATTTGTTAAAGATTCTTACTTGGTTTTAGTATTCTCCTGTAGTGTCAGCCATACTTGCTTCGAGTTTACAGAGTGCCATAACAACAGTGGTTTTTAGTGGGAAAGGGAGCAATTTTGCTTTCCAGGGGACCTCTGGCAGCGGCTCCAGACATCAGCGGTTATTAGAACTGGGAGGACGCTACTGACATCTACTGGGAGAGACCGGGATGACAGGCAGATTCCTCCAAGCCTCCGTCAGCCTTCCACACCAAAGAATTCTCTGGGCCCAAATGCTGACAGCGCTGAGACTGAGACACTGATTCACAATTGTTAATATACTTACTTATTTATGCAATATTATGTATAATATTAACAGTATTATGGCCTAAAGGAAGTGGTTCAAGTGGATATAGGAGTCCTAAAATAATTACACAGAATTATTACCTGGCCTGACAATTCAAAAGAATTGAAGACAGGTATACAAACAAGTACACCAACATACACATTCATAGCAACATTATTACAATACTCAGAAAGTGAGAGTAGTCCAGAAGCTCATCAACAGGTGAATGCATAAACTGTGGTATATACATACAAGGGAATTTTATCCACCCATTAAAAGGATGAAGTACTGAGCTATGCTATGTAAAAGGACTTAAAAACATTACACTAAGTAAGGAGCCAGGATGAAAGGCTATTTACATAGACCAGAATAGATAAAGAGACAAAACACAAATTGGGGTTTGCCAGGGACTGAGGGTGGGCCTGTAGGGAGTTTAAGAGCGACTTCTTAATGTGTATGGGGTTTTACTTTGGGGTGATGGGAATATTTTAGAACTAGATAGATAGCAGTTGTGCTGTATTATTGTACTGAATTGTTAACTCTAAAGTGGTTAATTTTGTTATGTGAATTTCAACTCAGTAAAAGAAAAAAAAAAAAGAATGTGGTCTTGTATGTCTACCTCATCCAATTTCCCAGTTCTCTCAGCTCAGCCTCTTGGTTTTCTTCTCAAATCTCCATTCCTCTTTTTTGCTCCCAGGTTTTCCAAAATTGATTAAAAAAAAAAAGAAGCCTCACAAATTGCTTCTTGAACTGCAGACCGATTTTTTCCCTATGCTTGGTTTATTTCTGAGGTAGCAGGATGCAGGGGCTGGTAGTTGTAGTAGTCATTTTCCCATCACTGAGACACAATACCAGACATCCACAACTGAAAAGAGGTGAGGTTTACTTTGGCTCATAGTGTCATGGGATTCAGTCCATGGCTAGCTGGCTGCAAGGCAGAAATACAGTGGAAGGGTGTGGCAGAGCAGGGTAATAGTGCCAGAGAGTAAGGGACTAGGGACCATATGGCACTGAAGGTCATGTCTGCATGCCATACCCAGAAGGATGCTTTATTAATCTGCTAATTGTTTCTTAATCCAGTCAGGTTGACATGTCATGATTAATGGTCACAGTGGTATTCTGGACACTGGGGCAGATTCTTTGAGTTCTGATACAGGCTATGCCACTCATCAGTAGGGTGATCTTGGTCAAGTTGCATAATTTCTCTGTGTCTTGGTGTCTTCAGCTGTAAATGGGGATAGGGAGATCTATGGCCATGAGAAGAGGTCAGTGCTTAGCATGAGCCCGATGTAAGTTCAGCTACTGTCCTTGCTATTTAAGGAGTTGGGTTCATGGCTAGCAATTTGTTATGAAATCCGGCTCATTCAAAGAAGCATATGGGAAAGAGGCAGCTCCTCATCTGGAGGGCTAGCTTTCAATTCTCAATTTCCTACTGAAATTGAAGTAAATTTGGTCTAAATTACTTAGAGGGCCTTGCCATTATACTCATGGGAAGTATAAGAATCATAACATCAGCATCTGAAAATAGTCTCAAAAGCCAGAGCTAGCCGGGTGTGGAGCTACACGCCTGTGATTCTAGCATTCTGGAGGCTGAGGCAGGAGGATTGCCATGAGTTCGAGGCCAACCTGGGCTACATAGTTAAAAAAAAATCTGAAGTACATAGCAAGACTCTGTCTCAAAACAAAAACAAAAACAAAACAAAGCAACAAAAAAGCCAGAGCTAATATAAAAAGCCCCAGCTGACTCCAGTGCTGGACCAAGAAGTGCTCATTGGTAGAAGACCCAGGACGCAAGTGACCCAGCCCAAAGTGGAGAATCCTGGGATGCATAGAACTCAGACCAATCACTCTTGGACTCCGCCCTGGGAGCGGGACGACATGCCAACCCCATAGGCATCCATGGGGCATGTGCGTCTGTGGAGCATGCGCATGACTTCCCTAGTGGGTGTTCATCCCTGTGGTAGGAGTCCAGACACAGGAGGAAGAAGATTAAGTGAGAAGGCGGGAAAGTGACAGAGACAGATAGCATGGGGAGAGATGAGAGTTGTTGCAAGGGGCTCTGCCGCGATGCTCCAGGATCCGCGCTTCTGGTTTTTTTTGGTACCGGGGATCGAACTCAGGTCCTTGCGCTTGCGAGGCAGGCGGCGGAACCACTGAGCTAAATCCCCGGCCCTGTGGATCTCTTTCCAGGCCAGGACACATATATCATATTCATTCTGTTGGCTTCAGGATATTTCATGTGAAGATGACCCATAATTAACGGTTTCCCCCTTGGTGGACATTTAAACTGATATATTTGGCCAGTTATTTCCAGAGCATGGTGTTGAACCTTTTGGCTTGCCTGGGACACATTGAGTGAAGAGTTGTCTTGGGGTGCATGTAAGATATGTAATATATTTATATAAGTAGCAAAACTTCCTTTACTTTTAAATATTTTATTATAACATGTAAAAGAGAGGTCAACATAAACAAAACTAGTGGGATATTTTACCTTGTTTTGTGAAACTAATGCATTAATTTGCTCCCAGACCACCACACAACTGCTAAAAATCACATATAATGTTAAAGGTGTATGACCTTATAGGGCTGCATGACTAACTGTCCAGGGCTTCATGCAGCCACAGAGGCATTGGACACTCATGTTCTAGAACCTAATCAAAGTGGGCCAGTTTATGTTTGACTTCTGACAATTTTAGATGCCTGGATCTACTCTTGATGTAATCACTGGCTATTAGAGAAATGCAAATTAAAACAACACCGAGATTCCATTTTACCCCAGAAAGAATGGTCATCATCAAGAAATCAAATGCTGGAGAGGCTGGGAAGGAAACTTTCTACACTGTTGGTGGGAGTGTAAACTGGTACAACTGTTACAGGAATCAGTGTGGAGATTCCTCAAAAAACTAAACTAGAGGGCCGAGGATTTAGCTCAGTGGTTTCAGTGGCTGCCTTGCAAGCTCAAGTTCCCGAGTTTGATCCCTGGTACCAAAAAAAAAAAACAAAAAAAAACTAAACTAGAAATTCTATTTGATCCAGCTTTTCCCTTTCTAAGTATCTTTTTTTTTTTTTTTTTGGTGCCAGGGATTGAACTCGGGTCCTTGGGCTTGTGCAGCAGGCGGTGAAACCACTAAGCTAAATCCCCAGCCCTCTAAGTATCTTCTTGAAGAGTTAATGTCCTCATATTACAATGATACATGCATATCCATGTGTATAGCACAATTTATAAGTGGCCCATGTGTCCATCAATAGATGAATGGATAAAGAAGAATGTGGTAATTCCACAATGGAAAATTGCTTTGACATAAAGATAAATTTGACTCATCTGTAGGAAAATGGATGTAGTTTGAGACCATAATGTTAAGTGAAATAAATCAGGCACACAAGCTTAACATCACATTGTCTCTTAAAACGTAGAGTAAAAATAAAGAGCAAAATAAAAGATAGGTAATAAGAAGTAGAGATGGATCATTCTCAAAGGGGAAGAGGATCAAGACATGGAGAGAGGAGAGAGGGAAGGGATAACGAAGAAAGAAAGGAATTGGGATGTGTTATGAACATGTACCAACTCCACGCGAGGAATGTAAACATTAGGTACCACACATACATACTAATGAGCTTTTAAAAAAGATAAATCAACATCAGGATAACAAAAAGTTAGCATTGCTGTGGGAGTAGTTGACTTTTAAGACAGGAACAAGAGGGGCTGGAGACTTAGCTCAGTGGTTTCGCCGCCTGCTGTGCAAGCTCAAGGACCCAAGTTCGATCTCCGGTACCAAAAAAAAAAAAAAAGTCAAGACAGGAACAAGATGATTAGGAGCCACAGATGTAGATTGAAAGCCTTGGCCTAAGTCCTTTTCCAGCCACGTGGGATCTCTTAAATTCCACCTCTTTGTAACAAAGATGATGATAACCCTATCCACCTTAGAAGTGGCTAGAAAAAGTGGTAATGCATATATATGGGAAAAAATTGTGTAAATGGTAGGGTGCTCCAAAAATCTTCTTCCTCCAAGCAGTCAGGGTGTAAGGCCCCTGCACAGAGGACATGGCTTTGGACATGGACATGGGCTTGCTCTTGTCACGTTCCTGGCACTGCCCGAGGAGCTTTACATGTTTTGCTGCTGTCCCCCACCCCCCACCTCACTTAATCCATACACCGACTCTCTGAGGAAGGTACTATTGTTATCTCAGTTTTCTAAAGGAGGAAAGGCAGGCATAGAGGATTCAGTAGCTTACAGAAAGTCACAAAGGGACAGAGCTGGGATTTGAGCCCCGCTTCTGTGTGACTCTGGGGGCCTTGGTCTTAGCTACTATGTCCACCCTCAGAGCCCTTCCTGCTGCCTTCTCAGTTCCCCAGCCTAGTGTCCCAGGGTCCACCAGCCTTGCCCAAGTGACCTCGTCAGCTTCTAAACTCAAAGTATTTCATACTTTCTGACTTACCCACGTGCCAGTCATGCCCTGATGCTGTGTGGCATCTTTTATATTTTTGTCTCATGGTGTTGTTTTATTGTTCATTTCTATTGCAGCACATCAAAAAATAGTTGCGATAAAACTTCCAAATCTCTCAATGATAGAAATGTTTTATTTAGCAAGTTATTTGGATCAGATCCTTGAATATGGAGGCCCATGAGGGCAGAGACCAAGTCTGTGTTATTACCAAAGACTCAGAACTGCTGTTTAAAAAAAAAAAGTCTTCGGCCCAAATATTAGAGCAAAGTAAAGGGAGAGAAAATGTGCACTAATGAAAGAACACACATAAAACACATATATGAGGTGGAGTTGAAAAATATGGTGTGTGGTTTTGTTTTGTTTTGTTTTGTTTTTGTTTGTTTGGGGTTTTTTTTTAGATAGTCTCGCTATGTAGCTCAGGCTGGCCTTGAACTCACTATGATCCTCCTGCCTCACCCTTCCAAGTATTGGGATTCCAAGTGTGTACCACCTTGCCCGGCTGGTGTGTGTTTAAATTAAAAAATTATTACAGTGGCCAGGGATTTAGCTCAGTGGGGCCGCCACCTGCCTTGCAAGTGCAAGGTCCTGAGTTCGATCCCCAGTACCAAAAAAACCTTTTTTTTAATACAGTAAAAGACACACTGACATGAATCCCCCTCCAAATATCCCTCCTCACTTTCAGCATGCTCATCTCATCATTCTTGCCCCTTTCTGAAGCAGCTTAGGAAGTCCTCTTTCCTGAGTGTCTGTAGTTGTGCTGTTGCGGCTGCCTGGATGTCCTGACACCCACAACTCTAGGGAGGAAAGATTTATTTTGTAGAGGTTTCAGTCCCTGAAGGACAGCATGGCAGAGGAGAAACAGTTCATGGTGTGGCAGAAGGAGGGGAGGGGGAGGGCTTCGCCTCCTAACATCACTTAACTCATTAGTGGACCTTCCACTGATGAGTATCACACCCCCGTGATCCAGTCATCTCCCTAAAGTCCCACCTATGAGTGCCTGAGGCTTTGGGGGCACATCTATCTATAAACCATAACAAGCGGCACTCAGCAGCAGCATTCACTGTGGTTTTTTTTTTTTTTTTTTTAGGTTTTCAGTAAGTTTATTGGTACACTTTAGGTATAAAATAGTTACATTGGGCCGGGGATTTAGCTCA